TATTCTGATCCTTCGTGCGCTTCACGTGAATAATGAGAAGGCTAAGATGTTGTTGAAGCCCGACAAGTCTATTGTCACTGAGCCACATCACATCTGGCCCTCTCTCACTGACGACCAGTGGATGAAGGTAATTCCTCTGCCACTTTTCATTTAGTTGTCTTTCGATATTTTTATATCTTATCCGATAAGGTCCCTCTTAACCTGATTTTGTCTCTGTATCTACAGTTTTTCTTACTGGTCTTGAGTTATTTATATTATATTATGCTTTTCTTTCCTGATTCACAATTATGTTTTATTTCAGGTGGAGGTAGCTCTTAGGGATCTTATCTTATCTGACTACGCAAAGAAGAACAATGTTAATACCTCAGCTCTGACGCAATCAGAGATCAGAGATATTATCCTTGGAGCTGAGATTACCCCACCCTCTCAACAGAGGCAACAGATAGCTGAGATTGAGAAACAGGTACCCTTAATTGTGATTTCCATCAGGTTTTAGAACAGACATTAAAAAAAAATCAAGTCAGTGCATTTAATTCTGTGTTCATTGTGAACCTATATCTCTTTTGCAGGCAAAAGAAGCCAGCCAGCTTACTGCTGTCACAATCAGAACGACAAATAAACATGGTGAGGAGCTCATTGTCTCTACCACTAGCCCCTACGAGCAAGCTGCATTCGGTTCCAAGACAGATTGGCGTGTGCGTGCAATATCAGCTACCAACCTCTACCTCAGAGTCAATCACATCTACGTGAACTCAGATGACATAAAGGTTAGAATCAAATTCATCAACTTCACCTTTAACAGTTAAGTAAAAGCCTTTTCCGGTCTTACCCTTGACACATTATTTTCTTTCTGTTCACAGGAGACCGGATACACATACATCATGCCGAAGAACATCCTGAAGAAGTTCATATGCGTAGCAGATCTTCGAACTCAAATTGCTGGATATCTATATGGTTTAAGCCCTCCGGACAATCCTCAGGTGAAGGAAATCCGTTGTGTTGTGATGGTGCCGCAGTTGGGAAGTCACCAGCATCTAATCCTGCCGTCAGCTCTTCCTGAGCATGATTTCTTGAATGATCTCGAGCCATTGGGATGGCTGCACACACAGCCTAACGAGCTCCCTCAATTGTCACCACAGGTACGCATTTATCTTTTCTATACCGTATTTGTCAGCGTGTTAAACCCATTACTAAGTGATGATGATGTCTGTGATTAGGATGTTACCTTTCATTCCCGCATTCTGGAGAACAACAAGCAATGGGATGGAGAAAGATGTATCATCCTGACATGCAGTTTCACTCCTGGATCCTGCTCTTTGACATCATACAAGTTGACCCAAGCCGGATATGAATGGGGACGTCTCAACAAGGACACAGGTGGCAATCCTCATGGCTACCTTCCCACCCACTATGAGAAGGTTCAAATGCTATTGAGTGACCGGTTCCTCGGGTTTTACATGGTAAGGAGGAGCGCAGTAGTAATAGTACCTTCTTCCTTTTGTTTCTGGGTTTGTTTGTCCTTGATGATGATTCTGAAAATTGTACTGTTGTGGTGATATATATATATAGGTTCCTGAGAACGGATCGTGGAACTACAACTTTATGGGAGTGAAGCACACGGTGGGCATGAAATACAGCGTGAAACTTGGATCCCCAAAGGAGTTCTATCACGAGGAACATCGACCCACTCATTTCCTGGAGTTCAGCAACATGGAGGAGGCTGACATCGCTGAGGGAGATCGTGAAGACACCTTTGCTTGACCGACCCATTATGTTTTGTAACTTCCTTGCTAGACTTGTAATGTTGTACGAGTGACTGAGTTCTACTGCATTGTGTGTGGGGTAAATATTGTAGTGTCCCCAAGTCTATGACTTCTTTTGCCAGTAGAACATCTTTTTGTGTATACAATCGCTCATGGAAGTCAAGAAACTTAGTTATGTCTTTCAAAATTAAAATGCTATTTGAAATCTCGAGTTAGAAAGGCAACCAACTTTCTTGTAACAAGAAGGGGAAAGCATTGTGTATTTTTTTTTTGACAATAAAATTGAATGGGATATATTTACAACAGGTTTGTTTTCAAACCCAATTTACACCCAGTGTAAGAGATCTATAGGAGGTTGCAAGCCCAGTTTACACAGTAAAGTATACTGCAAGTCCTTTTGCTTTTATAAGTTCATGACAAGAAGCTCAAGACTCTTGTCTTCCTACTTTGGTGGTTGGTTGCTTCTTCTTTTAGTGTCACTAATGAAAGTTTCTGTATTCTTGATTGATTTGCAGCGTACAATGGAGGGCGTATTTAAGCCATTTGCAGTTTGAGAAATCCCTAACATATGGGAGAGAATAATGGAAAGTGATATCTACGTAAAAGACTAATTCAAATAAGAATAATGGTATCTTTCAACTAAGAATAATGGTATATTCTTTCAACTAAGATGTCATGCTGCATTCAAAGAGACATCATCCAAATTGAAGAAATGTTAACCAAAGAAAAGAACTATGATCTAAAACCCGGGCCATTTGTATTCTAAGGGGAAAATCTATTTGCGACTAGCATTTCGCATGCTACAAGAAAGTGCTAAGCATTTTCGTCTAGTACAAGAAAGTCCCATAAACAAAGAATCAGCACCGTTTCTAATTAGATAAGGGGAGACCTCATGCCATGTGTGCCGTTTCAATCAAGCAAAATAAACGACACAAAGTATACCTGTCGTTGACTTTTTGTGTTTCACACGCAAACTAAACAATCAAATCCGCTTCATTTACATTTGGGTGGATTATATTATACAAGGAACTAAGGCAGCAAACTACTTAGGAATTGAATCTAAGTTTCTCCACCATGAAATCAAGGCGGCTCAACGTCTCAGAGGATCATCAACCCATCCGTGTACCCCACCCACAAGTCAACCCAGCCGAGTTCTCATCGACCATCCCAACCGAACTCATCATCGACATACTCTCAAGGTTGCCTTTAAAGTCCATCGCTATATGTCGTTGCGTATCCAAGCAATGGACCTCCATACTTGGCCGTTCTGACTTCACTGATCTGTTCTTGAGCAAGTCTTTGGCTCGTCCGCAACTTTTGTTCGCCGGCCTAAGACCCAAGGAGGTGTTATTACGCTCCTCACCTCAGAGTCAAAACCCTGTATCCACCACATCCAGTGATCTTAAAACTTTCCATTTTGGACGTATCAAGAAATTATCTGCTCCTACCAACGGTTTGTTCTGTATTTGGGATTTTTGCAAAAAGGGGTGGGTGATATGTAACCCTACCACGGGGAAATCTTTACCTTTACCCATAATGAAGACGAGGAAGATGAGGATGAAGCCTTTAATGAAAGGCTTCTTAGGGTATGATCCGGTTGAGAGACAACACAAGGTATTGGCAATGACATGGGGAAACCACGGAAGTGCTAGGGACCATCAAGTTCTGACATTAGGAGGAACTGACATGGAGAATGTCTGAATGTGGTATACACCATTATCCTCTGCCTCGTGATGGTATATGCATCAATGGTGTTTTGTATTACATAGCTACTACTACTGACGTGAACTCCTCCGATTATGTTATAGTTTGCTTTGATGTTAGAACCGAGAAGTACAGTGTTGTTAAAGTCATGGAACCTTCCATTAAAGCAACTCTGGTCAATTACAAAGGTAAATTGGCTTCAGTGATGTCCCAATCGGAATTGAATCGTATTAGTGGAAGTAGTACAAGTTTTGAGATGTGGGTTCTTGAAGACCCTGAAAGACATGAATGGTCTAACCATGTTTACAAGCTACCTCCTATGTGGAAGCATGTAGTTGCAGAGAAAAACTTATATATTATTGGATTGAGTGGTACAAATGAAATGGTTTTGTCGCTCATCCCTTCATCTAAACTTGGTTATGTTTACTACTACAATTTCGAGAGGGGAACGATAAAACGAGTTGAAGTCCAAGGATTGAGCTCATTGGGTTGGGTTCATTGCGTTTGCACCTTTATAAACCATGTAGAGGACGTGACCCTTATGAACTTGTTTTAGGACTTTATAATGGAGTTAGTTTGGCTGGCTTGTTCTCTTCTTAAGGATTGTAATACGAGCCCTCATCTTTCCACTGGTTGTGTGTTGTTATCTCTTTTTTTTTTGCATAAAATTTGCTGTTGTTTGTGATGGTTTTCCACTTGTTCAGTGGTTCATGATGCCCTATGGAACTCTTCTTTTTCATATGGTTTATTTTCTTTGAAACACTTCTCTACATGTAATTGGGGGATCCTCTAATTTCAGTTCTGACTATAGCTATTATTTGTTTTACTTTTGTATATGGACTTAAGTATGTACATTGGCACGTCATAGTTGGTATCTATCTGAGTTGTTATCCTTTGTCAATATGATATTCTAGTTTAGGTTTATAAGTCATATCGACTGTATAGCTTGCTCTAACAGATTTTCAACTTCACGGGTATATTTTGCTGACTTGGTTTGGAAGAGTCATCTAGCTCCAGAAATCCTGATTTGACTTGGCAGAATCATGAAGAAAAGAAAGTTAGCTTCTCACTGGAATCAATGAAAATTACCTTTACCGAGGAGTATCAGGTGATTTATAAAATATTTGAACTATTATTATTTCGTTATAAATTTAGGGCCTAAAAATATTTATTTAGGGTTTTTATCTATATAATTTTCTTCAAAAATTTTGGCTACTGAATGTTTTGTTGGGTTTGGATGAGGCGGTACCGTCAGATTGAGAATTATGATTAAATCAATAATGCCAACAAGTTTTGATATTGCAGCAACCATGTAAAGAGACACGTGTTATATATTTTGGATTTGTTAATATTAACCAAAGTCAAAAACAAGTTGTAAAAGTAAAGCGGCTGCATAAAAAAGAAAACACGAAGAAGAGTTCATGCATAATCTCTAATTCTTGATTGTCTTTCTTTATAATAAAAGAAGAAGATAAAAAGACTCTTTCCAAACCAATACGAACTCTTCTTCTCAGTCTTTCAAGTGTCTCCGCCATGCAACCACCGCGGCAGAACGTCTCGAAGGAAGGCGGCGAAGTAAACATTTATCAAGGCGTTACACGATCGGCGACCAGACGTAAGCGGAACTCATTGCCGGTAGCTGATAACATCGTTATGGAGATATTCTCGCGGCTGCCGTCGAAGGCGATGGCGAGAAGTCGTTGCGCATGCAAGCTCTGGTCCTCTATCCTTCGCCGTCAAGATTTCACTGACTCCTTCTTGACCAAATCTTGCGCTCATCCTCAGCTTCTTTTCGCATCCGATGATCGCACTGTGAGCAAGGTCATCTTCATCTCGTCACCTCAACCAGAAAATCCAGATCAAGAGAACTCGAATGTTGTAGCCTCCAATCATCTTGCGTGTTTCCCACGTTCCAATGGAGTCTACGGTTGTACCAACAATGGCTTCTTCTGTTACGTAGCTGACCGGTTCTTTAAGGGGCTGAAAAAGCCAGTGTGGGTTCCGGTGATATGTAACCCCAGCACCGGACAGTCTCTGACCGTGCCTAGATTGAACTCAAGAAGGAAGTATGAAGTGGAAAGCTATCTTGGATATGACGGCATTGCAAAAGAACTCAAGGTATTGGCGATGAATAAGTCGTTTGTAGATGGTGAGTGGATCTCTGTGGAGCACCAAGTTCTGACATTAGGAGCCAAGAAACCGTCATGGAGGTTGGTCGAGTGTTGCGTACCACATTTTCCTTCTACTAAGTGTATATGCATCAGTGGTGTTCTCTACTACGCAGCGAATAAAGTTGGATCTTCCGTGACTTTTATGGTCGTTTGTTTTTATTTGAGGTCTGAGAAGTTCAGCTTTGTCAAGTTCACGGAATCTTCTAGTAAAGCAATGCCTGATTCAACAACTCTTGTTAACTACGATGGGAAACTTGGTTTGCTTATGTCGGGAGATTCTGGTGTTGTTAATGGAGCAAGTACAAGTCTTGAGCTGTGGGTTCTGCTTGACGCTGCAAAACACGAGTGGTCTAATCATGTATACGTATTACCACCTTCGTGGGAGAATGTGGTTACAGAAACCATGCACATTGCTGGAATGGTTGGTGTAAATGAAGTCGTCTTGGCCCCTAGCTACCAAAGAGAGCCTTACTATGTCATCTACTTCAACGTGGAGAGCAAGACGACCACAAGAGTTGAAATCCAAGGACTGGAAGCGTTTCAGGGTAAGAGTTTCAAAACCTATCTCAACTACGTTGAGAATGTGGAGTTTCTTTAAGCATTTTATAAGTGAGAGAGACAAGTGTTGTTTTCTTTTTGTGTCTTTTGTTTTTTTACTAGCATCTTAGTTTGAAAAAGTCCACCTGTTGTGGAGATGATATAGGTAATCTTCTTGTTACAGACTCTTTACAAATGTATATACTAATCCAAAACAGAGAAGTTTAGAATGTGATTTTTGAATGCAATGATAGAGAAAGTAAGAGTTTCTACTTTCTAGATCCTTAAATTAGCATAATATTAATATTTTGGGTTAAAACATAGCCAGAAAATGATGGTTGTCCAGACCCTTGTAGATGATATGCTAAATCACAAGTTGTACATCTATTTCTTGTGCTTTTTTGGTTAGTGTGGAGTAGAACATTCTTTCAGTGTAAGAGATCATCGAGAAAAGGTACAAAATAAAAAAAGTTGAAGGAAGAGCTATAGATGATGATGATGATGAAACTATTAAGAAGTTTGATCCAAACTTAGATGTTTATTTTTGTTATCTAGCTCTGGCAAGTAAACGTTCAAAGAACCTAGTCAAATAAGGTGTGGGTCACAAAGGAAAAAGAGAATACTTTTAGGTCTACGTAAGATGACCAAACAAGAGAGTACCATCGTTAAATGGTCATTTATCTCAAAACTTAATCAAAAGCTAAAGAGTGGACGATTATATTAAGAAATGAAGATATTGATGATTAGAGCATACAACTCGGAGGTTTGAACCGTCAAGTCCAAGACAGACCAGCTTGACATGCAACATTATGTATTGTGAATCATAAATTTATATTAAGCATGCAATTTTTTTTAAAAAAACTAAAATGTATTGTAAGTAGTGTAGATTTTGAAGCAAATATAGTTTATTTATTTGCGTAATTTGTTTGAAGTGCTAGTTTTGAAATTTTGAATTATAATTTTTACATCAGATTTTTTTAAGAGTTTTAATGCTAAAACTCCCAGCTAAGTTTGGTTTAGTAGAAATTACTAAACTAACGATTTACAGGTAGCACAGTTTTTTTTACGGATACAATAGACATGTATAGTCTAATCCATTAAATAAAATCAGTTGAGAATTTTCATGTTAAATATATAGGATATGAGTTTTACCTGAATCAAATTTAATTGAAAGGTTTTAGTATTAAAAATAATATGAGTTTAATAAATCAAAAAGTTATTATAGATTAGTTGTGATAAACTATTTAATTAAATTTCAATATTTAGAAAAAAGTATGAACAGTTTGTATGAAAGGCATTGCAAACAAGTTTTATAGTTTTTGTTACAAAGAAAATAACCGTTACTTTAATTATGCACACTCTGTTTCTTCTAGTATAAGAAGAGAAAGAAACTTTATACAAAAATCAAACACCCTTTCTTTCTTTCTTTCTTTCTACGAACTGAGCCATGACATCACCGCACATTACACGATCGGTAACCAGACGTCAGCGGAACTCATTGCCGGTAGCTGATGACCTCGTTATGGAGATATTCTGGAGGCTGCCGTCGAAAGCGATGGCGAGAAGTCGTTGCGCATGCAAGCTCTGGTCCTCTATCCTTCGCGGTCAAGATTTCACTAACTGGTTCTTGACCAAATCTTGCGCTCATCCTCAGCTTCTTTTCGCATGCAATGATTACACTGAGAGCAAGCTCATCTTCATCTCGTCACCTCAACCTGAAAATCCAGGTCAAGAGAACTCGTATGTTGTAGCCTCCAATCATCTTGCGTGTTTCCCACGTCCCTATCAGTTATTTGGTTGTACCAACGGCTTCTTCTGTTACGTAGCTGAACGGTTCTTTAAGGGGCTGAAAAAGCCAGTGTTGGTTCCGGTGATATGTAACCCCAGCACGGGACAGTCTCTGACCATGCCTAGATTGATCTCAAAAGTGAAGTATAGAGTGGACAGCTATCTTGGATATGAGCCGATGGGAAAAGAACTCAAGTTATTGGCGATGAACAGTTCGCGTGTAGGTGGTAAGTGGATCTCTGCGAACCACCAAGTTCTGACATTAGGAACCAAGAAACTGTCATGGAGGTTGGTTGAATGTTGCATACCACATGTGCGTTCTACTGAGTGGATATGCATCAGCGGTGTTCTCTACTACGCAGCTAGTGCAGCCGGATCTTTTGAGTATTCTTATTCTATGGTCGTTTGTTTTGACTTGAGGTCTGAGAAGTTCAGCTCTGTCATGTTCAGTAAAGCAATGCCTGTTTCAACGACTCTTGTAAACTACGATGGGAAACTTGGTTTGCTTATGTCGGGAGATTCTGGTCTTGTTAATGGAGCAACTTCAAGTTTTGAGCTGTGGGTTCTGATTGACGCTGCAAAACACGAGTGGTCCAAGCATCTATACGTATTACCACCTATGTGGAAGGATTTGGAGGTTACAGAGAGCATGCGCATTGCTGGAATGGTTGGTGTAAATGAAATCGTCTTGGCCCCGAGCTACCAATTAGAATTGCCTTACTATGTCATCTACTTCAACGTGGAGAGCAAGACGATCAGAAAAGTTGGAATCCAAGGACTGGAAGCGTTTCAGGGTTATAGTTTCAAAACCTATCTCAATTACGTTGAGAATGTGAAGCTTATTTAAGCATTTTATAAGTGATTGAGACAAGTGTTGTTTTCATTTTGTGTCTTTCGTTTTCTTTCTAGCATCTTAGTTTGAAAAAGTCCACGTGTTGTGGAGGATGGTATAGGTAATCTTCTTGTTACAGACTCTTTACAAATGTATATACCAATCCAAAACAGAGAAGTTAAGAATGCAATGATAGAGAGAGTAAGAGTTTCTACTTTCTGGATCCATGAAATTAGCAAAATGTTAATATTTTGGGTTCAAATCTCACCTAACATAGCCAGAATATGATGTCTGTCACCGCAAACTTAATCAAAAGCTAAAGAGGCCGAGAATAACAACTCGCAGAAATTCACCCGTTAACTCAACGGTTAGGCTTATACGATAGTCGAACATTTGGTCCAGTTTCAACATTGTTGGAAGAGCTATATGCAATGTCTGAGAACAGCCGTGGAACATGTCCGGTTCGAAGCAGGTGAAGGTTTTTCAATAAAAAAGGCAAAAAACGGTGGTTCAGCTGAGAATGAACCAGCAGGCCATAGTGGGTCTGGGTGGCGCCGAACCGTAATCCGTCCACTGCAGAGAGCGGGAAGTAGTCGCTGCTCTGTGAAACCAGCCTGACGCATTACCCTCCAACTTTAGCATCCACCTGACTCGAACTTTCGCTCAAACCAGGCGGATAACTCTCTGCTTGGACTGGGCAGCTCAGAAACCTGCCACACCAGAACCGACCCGTAGACCGAACCAGTGTTCCAACCATCTTATTGTCCCCACTCGGGTCACAAGCTCTCGTTACTTAGCTCGACGTTCAGTGTTGGTTTCTGTGACCTATATAAACAAGGACGATAAGAAAAGAAGTACCGATGTGGGATGTAAGACAAACTTACGTCGTCTTGAGTTTTTATTCAGGCCCATGAGGCTTAAAAGCCTAATAGTGTTTAAACGGAAATATGAATTGTGTTTGCTTTTGTTCCAGTTTAAACATTATTGCAAATCTCCACCAAAATATTATGTTAAGTAGTGATATTCGAGTAAAATAATATGAACGGTCTGATCTTTATGCATATTTCATACTGTGTTAGACACTTAGGTAGGTCACTTGTGTGAAAATTGATCAATCATAATACCAAAGTCAGACGTTGGGAATTTCATTGAATTCATTTGTGTACTTATGATTATGAAGCTGTATTTCGGTGTAGGACTTTACTTGATTGGCTTAACTAACACATAGTTTTGATTAATTCCCTTACCATTGGCTCTATGATGAATCACTGTGTTGATACGTTACAAGTATGATCCGGCACTAATCAGCATGTACCAAATACTAAACATAAGGGCTCAGGTTTTTGATTTCCCATTTTTTCATTACGAGATGAAGAAAGTTTTGTATCAAGAGATATAAAAGTCTCTTTATGGATTTTTATGTTTTTTACTGCAGCCTCGAGAAAAAATATATAAGAAGAGTTGAGATCCAAGGTATGGGAGGGTTCAAAGAAGTTTATACATTTGTAAACCATTTTTTTTGTGCTACGATACATTTGTAAACCATGTGGAGGATGTGAAACTTATGCAAATGTTTTAGGACAAGTTTGGCTATTCTTTAAGTTCGCACTTCTCATCCTCACAAGGGTGATGGATGGTTTTGTTATTAAAATTAGTTATTGGATGATTTCTTTTCTCTTGTCTACGTGATGAAATTCATCTGTACTAGATAACACAATGTTCATATACTCTGGAGCAATGTTTTTTTTCTTCTATTTTGAAGCTCGTCTGTGCCTTTCTCACTATAGCCACCATTATAGATAGGTCAAGACCACCCAAACAATATATATATATATATATATTGCCCTTGAGCATCATGGGTTGTGTTAAGGAAATATATTGTACTCTGAGGCTCTACTTGTAAATACCCAATAGTTGTATTTAACCTACATAGAATACTGTATAAATACTCTCTGTATACCTAATAATAAAGTATTCAGTCTTCTATTCTATATGGTATCAGAGCTTGCAATACTTTTCTGAGCCGCCTTCTTCCTCTTTCAAAATCTTTCATCGAGCAATCACCATGTCTGGTAGCTCCTCCTCTCCGGCTACACACAGTGAAACCATCACTGTCTCTCCCACCCCAACTCTTCTCAACCTTAACATGACTAATGTCACAAAGCTTACCAGTTCCAACTTCCTCATGTGGAGTAGACAAGTTCATGCTCTCTTTGATGGGTATGACTTGGCTAGCTTCATTGACGGATCTGGTGTTGCTCCTCCTGCTACTCTCACTGCTGATGATGGATCTCTCTCCACGAATCCTTCATACACCCTTTGGAAGCGTCAAGATAAGTTGATCTATAGCGCATTAATAGGTGCAATCACGATGAACTTGCAGCCACTCCTCTCCACTGCAACGACGGCTGCGGAAGTGTGGAGCACACTCCAAGCGACCTACGCGAAGCCAAGTCGTGGTTATGTTCAACAGATCCGCCATCAACTCCGCTCCTGGAAGAAAGATACCAAATCTATTGATGAGTATTACCAGGGCCTAACCACTCGCTTTGATGAACTTGCCTTGCTTGGCAAGCCTCTTGACTCAGAAGACCAAATCGAACACATCCTTGCTGGTCTTCCTGAGGAATACAAGACTGTAGCTGACCAGATTGAGGGCCGTGAAACCTCTCCCTCCCTAACCGAGATTCATGAGAAGCTTCTTAATCAAGAAGCTAAGCTTCAACTCAAGGCTGCTGTGATCTCTCCGGCTCCTGTCACTGCAAACTACACCAACTACAAAGGTCCCTCGAGCAACACCCGTAACAACAACAACTCATACCGTCGTGGAGGCTACCGTGGAGGTCATGCTCAACAACAACAGTCCTTCCATTCGCACTCTCAACAGCCACAGTCACGTGGTGGTGGCTATCAAGGGAAGTGCCAGATTTGTAGTGTTTTTGGACACAGTGCTCGTCGCTGTCCCCAACTCCCTGGTGGCTCCTCCGGTTACACAAACCAGCAGCAGATGGCGCCTTCTCCCTCCTGGCAGCCGCGTGCCAATATGGCTCAAGCTTCTCACTACAACCCGAATGCGTGGCTCTTAGACAGCGGTGCTACACACCACCTCACGTCTGATCTCAATAACTTGGCTATTCATCAAGCTTACAATGGAGGAGATGAAGTTGCAATTGCAGATGGTTCAGGTTTAAGTATCACACATACTGGCTCTGCTTCTATCTTAACGCCATCTAGAACTCTTAAACTCCAAGATATTCTTTGTGTGCCAAATGTTAACAAGAACTTGATCTCAGTTTATAGACTATGCAATGCTAATCAAGTCTCTGTGGAATTCTTTCCATCTTGTTTTCAGGTGAAGGATCTACAAACGGGAATCCGGTTGCTCCAAGGACACACGAAGGGTGATTTGTATGAGTGGCCCCTATCCCTACCCAAACCCGCAGCATCCTATGTCTCTTACCCTGATACCAAAACCACTATATCTCAGTGGCACCGACGTTTAGGCCACCCTTCTTCTTCTACTCTAAACACTATTGTTTCAAATTTTTCTTTGCCATGTTTCAATAAAATTTCGAGTCTTACTCCTTGCAATGATTGCTTACTTAATAAAACACACAAGCTTCCTTTCCATCAAAGTACTATTCTCTCAACTCATCCCCTTGAATATGTGTTTTCTGATGTGTGGCAATCACCCGTTCCATCCACTCAAAACCAGAAATATTACCTAATTTTTGTGGATCATTTCACTCGGTATACATGGCTTTTTCCACTCACTGCTAAATCCCAAGTCAAAGAAGTCTTCCTCACCTTTAAGCCCTTAGCCGAAACCAAGTTTAATACCAAACTCCGTAACCTCTACACTGACAATGGCGGGGAGTTTCTTGCACTTCGCCATTTTCTTTCATCCCAAGGAATTTCCCATCTTACCACACCACCTCATACTCCTCAGCACAATGGTATGTCTGAAAGGAAACACAGACATATCGTTGAGACTGGCCTTTCTCTTCTATCCTCTGCTAACATTCCTCTCACCTACTGGCCCCTAGCCTTTGCTACTGCTGTTTTCCTCATAAACAGACTTCCAACACCCGTGTTATCAAATATATCCCCCTACCAAAAGCTTTTTGGCATTTCACCAAACTACAGCAAACTCCGCACCTTTGGCTGCCTTTGTTTCCCATGGTTGAGACCATACGCTCCAAATAAACTAGAACATCGGTCAAGCCCTTGTGTCTTTGTAGGATATTCCCTCACTCAAAGTGCTTACCAATGCTTGGAACCCATCTCTGGTCGTATCTTTATCTCTCGACATGTGAGATTTAATGAAACCCAATTTCCTTTTGCTCAGCTCACTAAACCTTCGTCCTCTGTCCCACCTGACCCCGTCCCCAACTACACTTATCCACCATTCACTACTATCCCTGTACCCTCGTCACTCATACAATCTCCTACGGTGTCTCTGGACAACCATAACTCCAGCAGTGATCCTTCACCAGCACCATCGATAGTCGCTTCCTCTGCTCCTCTGGTGCCATCCACAGAACCTGCACCGTCTTCTCCGACGGCTCCTTCTCCATCTCTAGAAGCAGAGTCTCATGCTCAAACTCCATCATCACAAGAAGCTGCACCGGCACCACAACAGCAAGCTCCACGCCACTCGATGACGACCCGATCACGCAACAATATTGTTAAACCGATCACAAGGTACAATCTTTCTGCATCACTTCAACAGGATCCCCACTGGATTCCTTCTACATGGCAACAAGCTGTCAAACATGAGCACTGGAGGAAGGCTATGAGCTCGGAGTTTAACTCAACTACAGAAAATCGCACATGGGATCTTGTTCCTGTTACTGAGACGATGAACATAGTGGGATGTCGCTGGGTTTTCACGATAAAATATAATCCAGATGGGAGCATTGCTAAGTACAAGGCTCGGATTGTGGCGAAGGGTTATCACCAACAACAAGGTCTTGACTACAATGATACTTTTAGTCCTGTGATCAAGGCGACGACGATAAGAATTATTTTGGGACTCGCGGTAAACAATGATTGGCCAATTAGACAGATTGATGTCAATACAGCTTTTCTTCAGGGACGCTTGAATGAAGAGGTCTTCATGGCTCAACCTCCTGGTTTCAATGACTCTAACAGGCCCAAACATGTTTGTCGCTTGCACAAAGCTATCTACGGTTTGAAACAAGCACCGCGGGCTTGGTACTCGGAGCTCAAATCATTCTTGATCGCCTCAGGTTTTCAAAACTCTCTCTCAGACACGTCTCTCTTTATTCTCAAGCATCAAGGCAACTTTGTCTACGTTCTTGTATATGTTGATGACATCTTGGTCACTGGGAATGCTCCACATCTCCTACAACATGTCATCACGAGCTTGGGAAATCGTTTTTCTATCAAGGATATGGGTCATCTCAGTTACTTCTTGGGCATTGAGACGGTACGTACTTCTCAGGGAATTCACCTAATGCAACGTAAGTATATCACTGATCTACTTGTCAAGGCGAACATGCTTCACGCCAAACCTGTTGCAACTCCTCTTCCTTCACATCCGAAGATCACCCTTCACTCCGGTTCTACATTGTCAGATCCTCATGAGTATCGTACTCTGGTTGGCAGCCTGCAATATCTCTCCCTCACGCGACCTGATATTTCATACGCCGTGAATAGATTGTCTCAATTCATGCACCAGCCGACTACTGATCACTTCCAAGCACTCAAACGTGTCCTCCGTTATCTCTCTGGTACGTTAACACATGGAATTTTCCTGCGTAAACAAGCTACCTCACCACTACATGCTTATTCGGATGCTGATTGGGCGGGGGACTCCGACGATTATGTCTCCACAAATGGATATATAATCTACATAGGCTCGCACCCTGTTTCTTGGACATCGAAAAAGCAGCGTGGTGTAGCACGTTCCTCAACGGAAGCAGAATATAGAGCTGTTGCCAACACAGCCTCTGAACTTCGCTGGATATGCTCCTTACTTACCGAACTTGGCATCAAAATCCCAACAATGCCTACGGTCTACTGCGACAACATCGGAGCTACCTACCTGTGCGCAAACCCTGTGTTTCACTCGCGAATGAAACACATTGCCATTGATTTTCACTTTGTGCGTGGTCAGATTCAAGCGGGACTGCTACGTGTTGTCCACGTCTCAACAAAAGACCAACTTGCCGATGGCTTGACTAAACCTCTCTCTCGTGCACCATTTCAGAGCTTAAGGATCAAGATTGGTGTTGCTCCAGCACCACCATCTTGAGGGGGCGTGTTAAGGAAATATATTGTACTCTGAGGCTCTACTTGTAAATACCCAATAGTTGTATTTAACCTACATAGAATACTGTATAAATACTCTCTGTATACCTAATAATAAAGTATTCAGTCTTCTATTCTATAGGTTGTAGCAATAGACTGCTGTTAAAAATTCAGAGCGTAGAAAGTGTTTGGTTTCGGTGATGAACAGAGTACTAAAGTTGTTGAAATTGTTTAGCTAAATATATTTAAGTTGTAAATTTTTAACAGTTGAAAAAAAATTGTGATCAAGCTTAGCGATAAGACGCAAATTCATTTGTTAAGCTGATAGTTTAATAATTTGAACTCATTTGTTATATAATAATTATTTTTAGAATCTCTAATTTTAATAGAGACATCTCTAATTTTTATTTGGATACGAAACAAAAACATCATTTTTATTATAATCAACTATTTTAGCGTTTTAAACCGTTTTCTGTAAATGGATCGTAATGAAAATCTTTTAAACACCTCATATTCTTTTAAATTTACTTTTTAATGATATAATTTTAGCATTATTTTAAAAAAGTAAGGTAAGTATATAATAAAATAAAAATTATTAAAACTTATGATATTTTAGTTTTTAAGTTAAAAAAATCAAAATTATATTAACACATAGTTGTTATATTATAAAAAAAAAAACAAAAATATGAATTAAAATGATGGAGTGCGATGTTGAATTTTTTTTAAAACATTATTATAGAAGTAAAAAAAAGAAGAAGTAGGTATCGAATAAATTAGATAGAATAAAAAGATGTTATAAAGGAAAAGAATGCGTTGAAAATGAAAATGGTGTTGAAACCATTATATATGGTCTCAAGAGCCAAAAGCAGTATATGTGCCAATTGATGAATTGCATCGTTTCTTTGTGAATTATACTCTGAACAAGCATACACACTCAATAGTCTCCAGACCCCAATTCCAAGCAAATGAGTTAATCCATCGGGAAGAAAATTACAGAAGCATCAACTAGTAACAAAGTAGAAACAAAGTGAAATGCTGTTTCTGAATCCCATCTTTAATTACACCAGAAGAAGCGATCTACCTACAACAAAAGCTAATAAAACCTAAAACCAACCAATGTATCAATATCATACGCCTAGGGCATTAGGGAGAGAAGTCAAAATGAAAATCAGGCATCATCGTAAAAGGAAGCGACAACATCTGTATTCTCAAAATATCCTAAGTCCGGAAGAGCGTCGACGTTTGCGTATTCTTCTAAGAAATGAAAAAGGTCGAGCTTGGGGAAATCGGGGAAATCGTCCAAGCAGAAGCACTCCTCATCTTTACTACTAGGAACATCATTGAGAGTCTTGAAATCTGAACACGTCTAAGTAGCTGAAGTCTTCATTCTTGGGAACAAGAGCAAGGTATAGTGATTCTTCACATCAAAAGGACCAAATATGAAACTTTTGGTCCACCTTAAACTTGTAACCATCAAGAACAGGGTTCCAGCGAGATACCACCATGTTCTTCCACTGTTTCAACGAAACACCATAGGTTTTGAAATCTGGATCAACAAAGATAGCATGAACCCCTTCTGTACGCGTTGCTTTGCTACTTCCTTCCAAGACTCTGATCTCTTCCTCCCTCCGAAATTCCTTTTTGCTCAGAAACTTGTTCGCAGGAAGCATAAGACGTGTCTGGCTCTGGTTCAAGTCACTCGCGAACAACACTTTCTTGGTGGTAATCAGTCGTGGCTCCATACCATTGAATTTACTCATAGCATCAAGAATCCACTTCGGTGGCTGAGGCTCGACCATAGAATGTAGGTTTAGAGAGAAATTGAGGTTGAAATTTATGTAGTCGCAAAAATGAGAAAACATGTATGATGTCATTACTAACCGGTTTCTTTAAGTTTTTCTTTTTATTTTGTACTATAGGCCTAAACACCTTTACACAGAACCGAAAACCAAGTAGTGTCTAATGAAAAAATTTGAACAAAAGTTGAACCAGATTTCATGAGTTACCCAATAATTTATCCAAAATTTTGAGTTACCCTATCTTTTTCTCTATTATTTTCTTCTGGAAAACTGAATTATCCATAAAACTTAACTGAATTATTTGTGAAAACATAATCGAATAGATCTGAATTACTAATTCGATCTGAAATTTTCTCATACATTAGTCAGTTCGTAATTTTATTATTCTAACTGAACCAAAAAATAAAATAACCAAACTAAAATTAATTCCAATTTCATAAATAAACGAGACGGATCATATATCTGACTTTTGAGAGACTCTCCCATACATTCTTGAAAACACTTCTGGTGTGATGTACCCTATAGTCCCTCTTGTTTCCGACATCCACAAGATACTTTCTTTACTCCCACAGAGCTTGGCAAGTCCGAAATCAGAAATCTTCGGACAAAGATCGTTTCCTAAAAGTATGTTTTGTGGTTTTATATCGAAATGAACAATCCTTGTCTTGCAAGCATAGTGGCATAGTGCAAGTACTGAAGGCCTCTAGCAACTCTTTTATCCTGTTAGGATAAAAAGAAAAGTGTTCATTGCAACAAAACTGAGTTGCAAACTTGTCGAAACCGCAAAATCCACCCGTTTTTAAACACTGTTTACATTTTCCAAATTCCAGGATTCTTTTTAGGTATGAGACCCGCAGGAACAATAACATCGAAGATCGTTCGACAAGACTGGTAGTAATGTTCACAGTCATACGCTGAACCAGTCCCTCCATTTGAACAAGTGAAATTGTTAGGGTAATGAATGCTAGGGTTGCATTCAGAGAAAATGTTTTTGTAATTTGGTGATTTCTGAAAGAATTTAGGAGGAAATATTGTTTGGGGAAATGATAAAGCAGGGCACAGGGAAAGTGAATAATCTTTTCTTACAAGTTTAAGTGTGTTGTCTATGTGAAGGACAGAAATTGAACAAGATGTTGGAGATATTTATAGAGGTTTTGTTTGAAACTCTGTCACAGCTAAGCTTCAATAATGGATGACCACAAGGTTCACCACGATTCTCTCTCTAGAAGGGGAATGTTGCGGTGAGGTTTCCACACTCAAAAACAGAGTCGCATGACAAGAAAGCTTGGTTGCTTAGAGCACAAGGAAACAGGAACATGAACAACGTTACAAAACAAAACCCTAGTAGTGGAGAAACTGCTACGATGAGGAAAGTTTTTTTTTTTTTTTTGACTAAAACGATGAGGAAAGTTACAAGTAAAAATACTCTACTAAAGGAAATGAATTCAAAAACAGAGAAAGGTTATCTGTTTTTTTGTGGTCAAAGAAAGGTTATTTGTTTATTAACTAAAAAAAAGGTTGAAAGGTCTCTATTTCACACTTTGGTGTGACCACTGGACTTCAGACTAGTCTCCGTTAACCACTGCCAATCTTCTTAAAAATCGATTAAAAACATTTTTAAAAGTAACTCGGACGAGATCCCTCAGAATAGTATTCATAAATCATATGGAATAAAGAGTGCGTTTAGGTTTACCAGAAATATATAGTTTTTTTCTGTAGAAAGAGTGAAAAAAATGGTGGTCCAGCTGAGAATGAACCAGCAGGCCACAGTGGGTCTGGGTGGCGCCGAACCGTAATCCGTCCACTGCAGAGAGCGGGAAGTAGTCGCTGCTCTGTGAAACCAGCCTGACGCATTACCCTCCGACTTTAGCACCCACCTGACTCGAGCCTTCGCCCAAACCAGACAGATAACTCTCAGCTTGGACTGGGCAGCTCAGAAACCTGCCACACCAGAACCGACCCGTGGACCGAACCAGTGTTCCAACCATTTTATTGTCCCCACTCGGGTCACAAGCTCTCGTTACTTAGCTCGACGTTCGAAAGATGATTTTGTGACCTATATAAACAAGAACAATAAGAAACAAAGTACCGATGTGGGATGCAAGACAGACTTACGTCGTCTAGAGTTTTTATTCAGGCCCATAAGACTTAAAAGCCCAATAGTGTTTAAACGGAAACAAGAATTGTGTTGCTTTTGTTCCAATTTCAGAACCCCAGTATGATATCCACCAAGATATTATGTAATATGAAAGGTCTTTATGCATATTTCATACTGTATTAGACACTTAGGTAGGTCACTTGAGTGAAATTTGATCAATAATAATACCAAAGTCAGACGTTGGGAATTTGATTGAATTCATTTGTGTACTGAACGTGATTATGAAGTTATTTCGGTGTAGGACTTTACTTTTTTGCCTTCACTCACATATGGTTTTGATTAATTCCCTACCATTGGCTCTCTGATGAATCACTGTGTTGAAAGGGGCGACAAGTATGATCCGGCACTAATCAGCATAAGCTTCAAGCTTCAGACGCAGTTGGCCTGTACCGAGACATAAATCTCAGTCCCGTTATTCTAGTGAGGCCATATTTGATGAGGTATCAAGTTACAATGTAACTTCAACTCAAAAAGAGGATCAAGTAGATTCGCTTGCCAAACATGAATCTGAACCAAGAAGAGAATATCTATCATGATGTCGATGTAGATGAATTATCAGATGATGATGATGAGTTTATCAATGCAGAGGAAGAACCTGCGAATACTTTGAGTGCACTGAAGTTGATAGAACTTAGAGCCATAGCAAAATCAAAGGGTTTTAAAGGGATTTCAAAGATGGCGAAAACTGAGCTAGTGAACTCGTTGTGTAGTATTAAAAGCATGATGATCGTAGTTTTTGATGCACCCAATTAAATCTCCAAATGTTTGTTTCATTCATAATCTTTAGTGCATTCTCATTGCATTTAGTTTCTCCATAAGTCGATGAGCTTTCCCTTTTGCTTTAACAACAAAGTTAAAATGTCTTTTGTGTGTTATGCAATTGATTGAGGTCATTGTCCTCGTTGCATAATCAACTTGATTAGAGATAGTTTAAAATCAAAATTAAAATAATATTTTCAGAATATAAATAAAAGTGGTGAAAGGGTATAATTTGAAGAAAACAAGACATGACCATAATAAAGGGTAGAAAATGTGGTAGGGCTTATTCCCTACCCACTGTTCGAACTTTCATTTTAAGATTATGCATTTCTTGATTCGCCATTTTCTAGTAAGTATTTTATTTTTATTGAATTAAAAATTTTGCTGCGTCGTAACTCGTAATTTTAAGCAGAATAATTAACAAACGAAATGAGCGTGTTATTATATTTTAGTTTTATCAAATCAATCACGTGAGAAAGTATAATGGGACAAAAGATGAGCAAGTAGCAAATGTGCAGATTTAAAAATGAAATTCACTTATACAAACATAGTATTATTCTTAGTTTCTTACTAGCTGATTGTTTGTTTATACGGTTGTACCATAGCCAAAAAGTTTAATTATAATCCAACAATTAATTTAACTTATTGTAGTACTATCTGGTTCATCAACATACTTCGCTTATTCTCAAAATTATTAAATTAAGTTGACGTATTATATCTTGTGATATATATTTGTTTGTGCTTTTCAAAATAATGGTATTAGCAATCTGTTCTGGTAATGGTATTTTATCAAATTATAAACTTGGCGAATCAATGAGTTTGAATGATTATCAATGGGAAGACGATCTATTTCCACACCAAAACTATCGTATAGTAATAAATGTACATAATTTTTCAACCTCGTCCTAATTCTACACTATTAAAGTTTAACAACCTATTTCCACATACGAAAAAAGTTCACAATCCGTTTCCTCACAAACCAAGATTTAACTCGATTAAGTTAGTTTATAACTTAAACCGATAGTAAACCAGTTTGTATCGGTATAACCTGGCCCAAAAGCGATTTCAACAGTTAGAATCCTAAGATTTAAAAAAAAAACAGAAAAGAGAATAGATTTTGAGAGGCAAACTAAGAGAGTACATCATTCCACTCAACACTCGCTTCATTTGACTCCATTGTCATTTCTGCAAAGAGAGAGAGAGAGAGCATATACTTGACTGTAGCGAAGTGGATGAGCAACGATGTGGAAGAGCAATGATGTTCTTCACCGAAGAAAGACAAATGACTACGGTTTTTGGGTTTTTAATTTGCTTAAGTTAGGTATTAGGAATCCAATTGTATAAGATTTGGTTTAATCTGGTTTATTTTTGCTAATTGGGTCGTTTTTGGTTTAGGCAAGTTAGTCATTGTTTAAGTTTAGAGTGTAGGGAACACTAACCAACTTTAAACCGTTATTTGTTGGTATTAGATTATTTTTCAAAGTTTAAGGAGAAATGGGTTGTGATTTTTTTTTGTATGTGGAACTAGGTTGTTAAACTTTAATGGTGTGTAATTAAACCGAGGTTAAAAGATTATGTATATTTATTACTCTATGATAGTTCTGATGTGGAAATAGGTTGTCTTCGCATTATAAATAGAGTAAAGTGGTGAAAAAATTGTAAGTAAAGTTTTCAACTTCTTTAAAATAGAGGAAAAACTTAGTGTAGTTTCATTTCTTTTTAAAGTAAAGTGACTGACAACCTTTTTCATTCGATTGTCAAAAACCATTGAAAAGAGTAAAATCTGAATTTAGAATAAACATTTAGGCCTTGATTTAGCAGAGCACTAGAATTAGTATCTATTATCTATTGTCCAATCAATATTTGTTAGGAAAACATTTGAAAAAGTATTTACCAAATATTAATGTTCTTTAATTTTTTTTTGATCATTGTTCTCATATGGATATTTTTACTAGAGCATTTGTATTTATAATTTATAAACTTTTTAAAAAATATAATTTATTTATATCATAAAATTATGTTTAAATCAAAAATAAAATTTATATTTTAAAAATAATTTTTACAAAATAATAATATTTCACAT